GAAAAAAAGCAAAACATTTCCTTTCCCTCAGTAAAATATTTCTGCATGCATTTTTTCCTTCTACTTTTAGTGTACTGCCACCCAATTTCCCAGCACAAAGTCACAACTTCATGCTGCAGTTTTGCATCTAATCCAACTCCTGCAAACCAAGTTCAGCTGCTACAGGCACCGGTCCTTCTCCTGCCGCCCTCACCTGCGCATCTCCCACTCCCTGCCACCCTCTCCCTGGGCCAGGGGCAAACTTTGTGCCAATGACACACTGGGTGGATCAGGAAACTGATCCATCTTAAAACTAGTAATTCAGTATTTCCTCAGTTGGTATCAACCAGGACCAGCTCCCTGCTCGGGTCTGCTACAGAATCACACACACAACAGGCTCGAGAGGCACAAGAGGGACCAGGGCAGCGGCAGGAACGAGTGGCCGGGGAAGGCTGAGCTGTTTCCTTTGACTACAGCATCAGTTTATGCTGGAATAATGTATTGGTAAAATGACAGCCTTATTGCTTAGATGTTCACCAAATAGGACCATTATTTTTAATTGGCATCACATTTTCCACCTTCCTCTGCCACTGAAGCTGATTTATATGATAGATTACACGCCACTGTTAGGAGTTTAGCAATTTCATATCCGAGTTCCTTTAGAAGTCTTTGGGGAGTAACATCTGATCCTGGTGATTTGTTAGTATTCATTTTATTGATTTATTCTAAACCTACTTCTACTGACACTCCAATTTGAGACAGCTTAGACTAATACTGCATGAAGCAACAGTCCTGTGTGAGAACCTTCCCAGGTTCTCTCACACTGAGACAAACAATTATTTTAGCTTTGCTGCTATTCTTATGTTGATGTAGTTCCATGCACGTTAACTCTGCCGAACTCATTCCTCTTCTATAGGCATGGCACTAATACATGTTTAGCCCACTCAGTTCACAAAGTTTTCCTAAGACTTTGGGGAAAAGTTTACAAAATCCCTCAAAATGATGACAGACAGCATGTCATTATAAAGGACTGGTAAGAAGAAGGGCTAGGAGGCATTTATTCTCTCCATCCTGCAAGCTGGAAGATAGGATCACAAAATGTTGGGCAAGTATTTATTCTCTGTGACACCAGTCCACATGCATCACATACACTCAGGTTGATTGTATGGCAGTCAAAGAACTGCGTTTTTTAACAGCTTCTACTCATCAGTAGAGTGAGCAAGAGCACAGTGAGCAAGAGTCTTAACAGCATCCTTTATAGCTGAGCAACAAACAAAAATTATCAAAAAGCAATCAGATTTTTTTTCTTGGATTACTAAACAAAGTCCAACACCTAGAAAAGGCAGAGCTGTATCCCTTTCTTGCAACATCATTTAGCAGCTGACTACAATCAGCTCAGGCAAGGCAGTACCGTTCTCCTAAAACGTCACCCACAGTTCCTCAGAGGGTGCCATTACCCAACATCAAAGCAGTGTCATTGGTGCAAGTGCAGAAACAGAATGGATTAAACAAAAGTAACACCATCCTTGATGAGGATTAGCCCAGTTATACCTGCATTTTCTACGCCTAGCATATTCTGCTTGGATATTGACATATTTAAAGTGCCTCTCTCGGTTCAATTCTTAAAACTTCAAACTGTTGTCTAAAGTACGCACTCAGCAGACATCCCACAGTGTTTCCAACCACCTCAGAGATGACTCAGAAAAGTTGTTCATCACAGAAATTTAAAGTTTCCACCCACCTCATGATAGGAAACAAGAGCAGTTGTCTCAGGGGGTGGTACATTACAGGTTATAGTAAATCAGAGAGATGAAAACTTTGTCCCTTTGAGATGGAAGGCTGGCAAGACTTTGTTACTGCCAAGCTCTGATTTAACATGATGCCACAAGAACTCACGTATAGTCTCTGACTTAGTCATCACAAAAAACCCCTCTGTCATTAAACTAAGCAGCTAAGCTTAAAGAGTCTTGTAGACCTTAGACTTTCAAGACATTCTTGCCTAGTGAAGTCAACTGAGGAATAGACTAGTCTAGCAGTACACCCTGCAATGTCCCCTTTAGTGTCATCAGTTGCCATAACAGACATTGAGACTCTTCTTCAGGATGGGTAAGAGAAGGTGTCCCTACCTGCTTTTTCACAGAAGAGGATGCTGGAAGTGTTCAAGGCCAGGCTGGATGGGGCTTTGAGCAACCTGCTCTAGTGGGAGGTGTCCCTGCCCAGGGCAGGGGGGTTGGAACTTGATGATCTTCAAGGTGTCTTCCAACCCGAACCATTCTATGATGCTACACCCTTCCAACCCAAACCATTCTATGATGCTATGCTGCAGCAGAGTGCTTAAGGTATCTCACTACAGGTTTAGTGGCAGCTGAAGGGAGCCTTGAGGCCTGGGCTGGACCTCAGTTAAATTTATTCCAGAGCAGCCCCCAAGCTCCTCTTTACTCTCCCAGCTGCAAACAGTACCTGCTGAGCTGGGCTGGAAAACGGGAGGATGTCTGGGAGCAATACACGGCGCATCATTCAGCCGTGTCAGTGTTTATAAAAAGCGGAGCTCCATGATCACGTCAGCCCCAGGAAATAGTGGATTTTTTTTTAATGGCCATAGAGGGTGGCAGTTATGATTTGCTATACAAAGGGTGGGAAAGAAAACATGCAGAGCATCCGTCCCTGGGAAGCAGCGCAAAGGGTCAAATAGGACAACAGCCCCCTGCGCACCAGGGTATGTAAGAGCAGCTTTTTCTCATGTTCTTTACAGACACAAATAAGCAAACCGGGTTGGGGGCTGCAGGGAAAGCAGGAGGCCAAGGAAGTCATCCTGGAACTGGCAAACCGACAGCAGGAGCAGCAGCTGGGTACGACAACATCGTCCTTTTATGTTCTGCAAAGCTATGCCTGCTAAAACACAAGCCTGTGGGATTCTGCAACTCAACCATCCTCCGAGATGGGCCAGACTGGAACTACAAAAAATACAAAGAACAGCAAATCCAAGCACACAAACAGCAGAAGGATGCCTTCAGCTGCACGCACAAAGGTACAAGGGCAGTACAGTCAATATCCCATACTTCCTAATGCCAAATACCACTCAGCCTGCAAAAAAGACTGATAAAAAACCATTACAGGGGCGCCCGCCACAGAAAACATTGGGAAGCATTAACTCCCAAAGCCTTTTACTCTGGCGACATTCTATATTACTGCATTAATAAAGCCAGAAGAAAACAGTACATGGTGAACTACTCCTTGAGGAAATGGAGGGCCGCTGGGCAAGGCTTAGCACACTTCTTCACCGTGGCAAAAAAACTGAAGCCACAGCTACTTTGTTCAGCCCCTGGGATCCAGTTAACCCTGGCTACAGGGCAGAGCTAATTGTTTCTTTCTAAAAGGAGTTAGGATAAGGCAGAAGAGGTGAGGGGAAGCCAATCAACCTTTAAATACATTACCATCTGCTGACACCCTGGCAAGTAGTGGTTTAGCATTTGTTTTGAGGGCAGTTTACCAGCCCCTCTCTGTAACAATAAGAACAGGCTTATGAACAGCCTCCTGGTGATGGAAGGGAGAGAGAGCAAAGGGAAAAGAAAGAAAAGGTAGTACATGTGAGAATGTACATAGCATCTAATGCTTTAGGTAAGGAGTGCTTTGTATTTACAAATACCGAAATATAATGCATGTGACTAGTGAAAATCTCATTGTTTTCTGGCAAGCCTGGGAGCTTATAATAAAAGATGAAGCAGACTATAAAAACAGACAGGTAATGCCCCTCAATTTGCATGTGATAACCATTAATGGAAAAACTTATTCTGGATCCAACATTTGCCCTTAAAGGGCCAAGGAAGGACCCTCACTACACTGCCTAAGAGCTGGCTGAAGTAAATGACACTCAGAACTAGTCTGAGGGCATCTGTGGAAGGAAAACAATCACAGCCTCTCTCTGCACTAAATATTAATGTCTAGGCAGACAAAAGCAGCACTAGGAATACCGTAATAATATCACCAGCAGACACTCTGTATGTTTCTTCAGGGCATTCACACATCAGCATTAGGACTACGTCTATTGTCCCACATTAAACTAATGACTTGTTCCGAAAACCAAATCTCCACGTTCCTCGGGGAATCACAGATGTTATTTATATTTTCAGTCACCTAAAAGGATTAAAGTGTGTTTATTCTCAGTAATCTCATTTGTAGAGAGAGATATATACAGGCAGCAGGAGTATGCATTTTAACCCTATTGGGAACGATGAAATGCACAGCTCCATTTACAGCCAGCTGCCTTCCTCAGCTCTTCAGTATTCGGGACCTCCAAAAGTCTCACTGGCCTGGCCGCTTTCATTACAACTATCTATAAATTGCAGGGCACAGGCACTTCAGACAAACTACCCCAGGAGCTCTCGGTGACAGCAAGCTGTGCTCCGAGCCAAGAGATCCAGCTGAAAATTAAACTGCATGTCAAGTAGCCCGATCAATATAATAATTGCTCCAGGCTGGAGCAAATTACAATCTCTGGTTGAAGACAGACAAGTACAGCATCGGGCTATGCGCTGCGTCCTGGGTTGTGAGGAAATCTATAAGGAGTCCTTACGAAACAGAAGACAAGACGTGCCAAAGTGGTGGCAAATCCAGTACGGGAGGCTGAGGCGCACAGCAAAGAGCCGTGATGGATATAATAATAATAGCTGCGGGCTACGGGGATCGGCAGCCTCCGCCCGGGGAGCCGCGGGTGCTGTAACCGGGCACGCCGCAGCCTGCGCTTCCCAGGCAGCACGGAAACCCGATAGATGTATTAAAGAAAAAATAATAAAAAAGAAAAAAACAACCCACCCAAGCTGAAGTTGCCGCCAAGCGTGTGGCTCCTCTTGGCTAATTCCTGCCATTCCTGCCCCGGGGCCGCTCCGCCACCTCCCGCTCCCGGCTTCCTCCCCACGCCGTCCCGGCTTCCACACCGGCACCGGGACCTCTCCCCCCTCCATCCCCGGCGGATCCCCGGTCGCCGCCTCCTCCTCCTCCTCCCCGCCGGCTTCTCTCCTTACCCGTCTCTTTGTCCTGGGCGGCTTCCAGGTGCAGGTCGCTGAGGAGATGCTCCAAAATCTTCTCCGGCGTCCCCGACACCACCACGTATCTGTCGGAAAGCAGAGAGTCGCCGGAGTCATCCTCGGTGGAGGATTGCGAGCGGCTGCTCCACTCGTCCTCCTCGTCCTCCTCGTCGATGTACTTGAAGTAAGGCACGTCGAAGGTGGGCAGCGGCCGTTCCCCGCGGCGGCCCGACAGCGCCTCGGGCACCCGCACCCTGCCGCTCCCCATGGCCCCCCCGCTCCCCTAAGCTCGCCCCCCGGGGGACATCGCTCCCCGTCCGCCCACCGCCACCGCGGAGCCCGGCCCGGCCGGCCCAGCCCCGCACGCCCGGAGCCGCGGAAGCCTTACCTCCCGCGCCGCTCGGGGGCCGGGCTGCGTGACCACACCTTCCGCAGCACCAGCGCTGCGCCGGCCTCCTCCCGCACCCCATCGCCGCCGCCTCCATCGTCCGCCTGCCGAGAGCGGGGGTTGGGGGGGAGAAGGGACAGAAAGAGAGAGAGAGAGAGAGAGAGGGGGGACCGTCAGTGCCCGCCGCCCACCCGGGGGTGCTGCCCCGCCGCCGGGCTCTGCGTGGAGAACGGGGGGTCTTGGCTTTGCCGCTCCCCTTGGGGAGAACGGGTCTCGGCGGCCCGTGCGGGATTTAGGTGAGGGAGGGGAGATGCGGGATTTCAGTGAGGGAGGGGGGATGCGGGATTCCGCGTCCCCCAGGTGATGGCTTGTTGAATTTCCAGCCGGTCAAATCAAGCTGGGGGGGAGGAGGGGGGGCAGGTGACAATAGTCAAAAAGTGGCAAGAGCTTCTCTCCTTTACTTCAACAAAGGCAATAGTAGAATCATAGAATGGTTTGGGTTGGAAGGGACCTTAAAGATCATCCAGTTCCAACCCCCCTGCCCTGGGCAGGGACACCTCCCACCAGACCAGGTTGCTCCAAGCCCCATCCAGCCTGGCCTTGAACCCCTCCAGGGATGGGGCAGCCACAGCTTCTCTGGGCAACCTGTCCCAGTGCCTCCCCACCCTCACAGGAAAGAATTTCTTCCTAGAATCTAAATAAATAAAACCAGTGGGACAGGCATGCAGTGTACGCCCCCGAGCATCTCTTAAAACACTCTGGGTACCAATCTCCCCTCTTCTCAGCAACTTTCCAACTTGGGAAACAAAACACCACAGCAGCAAAGTGAAGCCCAGTGACCACCCCGGGGGTGAATCTCGGCCATTGGATGCTGACTTTCTCCCTCTCGGCTGCCCGAAACGGAAGGGAGCTGAACAATCACCCATTTCTGCACACGCAGCCCCCATCCAGAGAGCAGCTAAAGCCAGCTGACTGTGCAGCCCAGGAGATGAGGGTTGTGCTGCTGACTGAGCAGGGCGCATTGAAACGCTGGCGACTGCCGAAAAAGCAGCCCCCCTGTGAGATGCTCCTGGGTGAATTCGGTCACCGGAGGGGGAGCGACACAAAAGAGGCAGCTGTTTCAATGCCAGCACATCCAGTAGCGGCAGCTCCTCTGATTCTGACCTAGTTTAGTTATATCGTTCAGTATGTCAAACACACATATGAAGGCAACACATGGACTACTCTAAGGAGAAAAAAAAAAACACAGTGTTTTTTGCATCAAATGTACAGTATCCAGCAGTGAGAAAGAGTTCAAGTGGGCTAAAAATTGCTGAGAACAGCTCTTGGCAAAGGAAGGGAAAGAAACCACTTTATGATCCCCCTATCTGTTATTGTATTTCTTACTCCAAGAGCCACAGAGTCTGACTGCTGCTTCTGGTTGTCACCGTGGTGCAGGCATGTCCAAAGATGCAGCCCCTGCCCTGAAGAAGTTTTGATTTATTTTTTATTTTTTTTTTACCAGTAAACAACATGTAGAATTGATCTATGAAATTTCTGCAAGGTCAGACATACAGGTACTGAGCCAATTAATGTCAGATATTCATTGTAACACTCCCAGGGGACATAACTGAGCAGCCGCGTTACAGGAATACTGATGCATAATTGTAATCTGCCATTTCAGCGGCCGTGGGGTTTTTTGTTGCCTACGTATTTGAAAAGCTGCAATGAAAGAAACGGCAAAAGGGACAGGGAGGAAGAACAAGAAACAGGTGCAGCATTAAAGCAGTTCAGGAATGGGGAGGTTTATCCATACAAATAAATCTCTCCGTTCCCCTGTCTTTTCTCTGGCATCCTGCAAGAGAGCCCCCATCCTCATTTCCCTGCGCTCGCCGACATTCCCAACCGCAGCACATATGGGGCATATACGTGATGTATGGTGCTGTATTTACACAAACCATCTATTCCCACATATATGGGAATGGATTTTAAGCATACCCATATACATTACACACATGAGCAGCTGGCAGCGAGTCAACAGGGAGCACTGGGAGGGCGAAAGCTCTCTCATACTGAAAGGACATTAACAATGGGCTGTTGTAAGAGACAGTGCTCCCGCTTCAGCATCTCACCAAGCAGAAACATTTTAAAAAAAAAAAAAACCTTTTGGGTAATTGTACGCAAATTAACTGCATAAAGTGCCCCAATGGTGAGATTTTCCTATGGGTCTTCCTCTTGTCCTTGCCTGTTTTATCAATTTCAAGGAAGAGAAAGATCAATCTATTTTACCAGGAAAAAAATTGTGCAAAACCAAAGCAAATCAGGTTAAATTTGGATTTTCATTACCAATAATAATAATTTCCAAGAGGTGGAGAATTTCTTTATTTTGCTATCTTCTTTAAAAAATAATTTCACTCTAAGGGAAGAATTATGATTTCATTAAAATCCCACTTATGCATGATGTGTTTTTGTGTTCCATTAAACCCTTTAACGATGCCACAAGCAACAACAATTAACCTGAACAAAGCAAAACACAAAGACAAGTCCGACGTATTCTCCCAATTTTTCCAAGTTCTGATTTCACTGCAGATATTACTCTAAAATGACATCAAGGCACGCTTCATTTATCGGGATCTTGAATGGTCCGTGAAATCATTAATTCTCGCTGGAAGAAAACCGGGCTGCTCTCAGTGTGCTCCATCTAAATCCAGTGGCAGATGAGGAGGATGCAAGGGGCCCCCAAGTGACAACAGCGTGTACTGAAGAGCAAGGCAGCACCCTAGCTGAGTCCCTAAAAGTCAGCAACTGACCCAAGAGACATTCTCATCATTTACACCACCAATTAACAACGAAGTGTCCCAGCATTTTTTCAGACCCTTGTGCAGCCCTTGCTTAAGCCACCCACACGGACCATGCAGGACCACAGCAGCTCAGAGCTGGGCAAATTGGCTTTGTCCAGCCTTGAGGAAAGAAGGCTTAGGTGAGACCTTATCACCACATTCCAGTATTTACAGGGTGGCTACAAAGAAGATGGAGTCACAGGGAAAAGAGGAGGGGTAATGGGTACAAGTTACTCCAAGGGAGATCCCAATTGGACATGAGGAAAATTTTTCACAAGGAGAACAATCAGGCATTGGAGTAATTTCCCCAAGAAAGTGGTGGGTTGCCCAGCACTGGACACTTCTAAGATTCAACTGGACAGGGTGCTGGGCCATCCTGTCTAGATGGCTTTTGCCGAGAAAGGTTGGACCAGACGATCCTGGAGATCCTTCCCAACCTGATATTCTATGAGCCTATGACATCTCTCTCGTTTTATGGCCAGGCAGATGAATTGAGAGAGCGAGAGGCTACTGCAGGGTCATGCTGTGGATCACCGGCAGAATCACAATTCAAACTCTGGCAACACCACGCTGGCACCTCAGCTTGGAGCCCCCCATGCTGCCTATTTGACATTTACTTCCCTCCAGTGCAGAAGGTGGGAAATGACTCCCACCAGCCTGGGCCAGAATATGTTTGGACTTGTGCTTTCACAGAGGTGGGACAGGAGGGAGTAGAGCATCAGAGATGCCACAAAGGTTAATCACTGTCTCACTTCACACGTGACCTTGAGCAAGACTCTTGTGCAGACTCTCCCTGTCTCAGTTGTCCCTTCAACAGCACCATTCACATCCTGCTTGGATGTAATCAGTCCCTGGTGCACACTACCCATCACTAGGAAATTTAGCTAGAGTCCATGAAGCTCTCTGTGTGTCAACCATTATATTTCACATTTACTACAGCTTTTAATTGATCATCCCTTGATAGCTAAACACAGCACTATCAATATCTACGTTACTTCCCAGCTGGAGTTTCAAGCATGCAGTAAGTCCTTGTGGACTCGGTGGATCTTCTGACCAATATTATGGTCAATTTTCCACTCCTCTCATCCATCTTCCTCATACTGAGATAAGCCATTTATCTCCTGGGTAATATATTTTAAGAGCAGACAAGTGCTACCTTTATTTTCAGCATGAAAGGAACCCTGGGGTGGTATAAATATTTATATGCTTACAGGAATGAAACAGCTGGAAGTCCTTGCTTAGCGGGCCTTAACTTGTGCAGGTTACGTTTTGCATGAGCAGGAATATGACCCTCTGAATTACCACTGGGGCAGAAGAAAGCAGAGGAACATACAGTAGTGTTGAAAACAGCCACGTTGAACTGGCTTCCTTATGGAAGATATTAGGCTTTGGGGTTATTTGCAATTGGGCAGGGAAGAATCCGATCTCTGGCCAAAGCAACAATTATTTTGGTATGAGTCAGGGGTATTTCCACGTCCCTCACATTCCTGAGTTTGGCCTTTTAATTAATTAAAAGAGGAACCAACACCCAGAATGTGCTGCCTCCCCTCTTCCTATGAGAAACATCCCATGCCAGAAATAGCCCTGAAAAGCTGCTCTACTTTCTAACAGAAAAAAAACACAGTGCGCTCTGCAACGGACACAGAATATTCAGAAGCCTGCTCCATTGAAAAGAAATTGCATTTTCACACTATTCCTCCATGGGACAGGACATCTATGCAAACACTTCTTTATCTTACCCATTACTGATGAGCCTGTTAGCCTGTTCCTGTAGTGGAACACCACTAACGAGCAAAGCAAACTACTTGCTTCCCAATAACAGAACATTCCTTCAACCAGCTTTTCCTCCACCAGGAAAAAGGGACCAGACCCAGAACTACTCCAGCAAACCCCAGATCCAGAGAGACTCCCACATTGCTGGTTTCAATGGGTAAAGAAGTAACACTGCAATTAAGAGATCACCTATAAGGCACCTATACACTTAATGGAGTATGGAAAATCAGTCTGCAGACAGATGTTCCTGCTGCCAAACAACCAAGCAAAGGCAAAAAGAATCTTCTTTGGGCAACACGCAAGAAAGCAAACTTTACACAGGCTGTTTCAAAATCACATTAAACAACAAAGAAATTGCCTCCTCTAGGAGTTATGGAGGGCAGGAACATTTTGTTTTCACAGCATAATTTGGTAAAACTGACTCAACGCAATCAGATAATGCTGATCACTTTTGCTTCTATGTCTTTTGATGCTGGTGCCAGGGCATGCTCTTGAGAAGTATGGGAAAAAGC